AATATTAAAGTAACGAAAATTGTTGTGTTTTTATATGTATGTAATTATAACAACAAAAAATCATAAGCAATTAAAAACAATTTTCAATACAATAAAAATAGAAAAAAAGTATACTTATATATGGAGATAACATCTTCTAATTGAGTTTTAAATTGATAATTGATTTGTATTGGCGTGTTACACATTTGCAAATGCTACTTGGATATCTGTAAGTCAAAAAATTAAGCTAAACCACACAAGATCAATAGTTGTAGCAATACTAAGTGAAATTTATAAAAATAATAAATATGTATATAAACATTTTTTTTTTGTGTAAGTAGCAAGAAAAAGTGTATACCTGTGCAAGTGTTTTGCATTTTGATGGTTCCAAAAGTTTTAAAAGGAAAACTGTTCCCTTTCGTTATTTTTTCTACTGTTAGCTGTTGGAAAATCGTCAATCGAAAAAAGTGTACAAATGCAATGCAACAAAATTCTCTGTCATCTAAAACTGCACTCATTAATTGATTTCCGAATTTTGTGTAGTTGGTACTATTTTATTTCGAAATCTATAACTGTTTTGTTGTTGACCAAACACAAAATTTAAACAAAAAAAATTAATATTCGTATAAATGTAAAATGGTTGAAATTAAAGCATTGCAAGTCACTTGCACTAATAAAAAGTTAAGGCTGTCTAGATTGCGCTGAAAAGCACGCAAAAGAAAATCAAATGGGCAGCAACTAACAAAAATTATGCCTCCTACAATGCTTAATAGCCATATAACATATAAAGATACATAAGTATCTGATAAGATATATGTACGTACATATTTCTTTAGTAATTATTTTTTTCTAAAACAGTTACTTTTGCTGTAATGAAACTCTTAGTTTTTTTTTTACTGAGTTTTGCATTCACTTTGCTACGTGTCTATGAATTTTAGCAAATAGTATATAGCTAATGAATGTCTAACCAAAAACACAACTACATACATACATTTGATTGCTTTTGTTGCATATCGCAATTGCTTTGTTTTTTTCTCTGATTGTGCACTGCGGATCTACATATATACTGTGCATTATTAGGTTATTGCTTGAATTTATTTCATAGATTTCACTTTTTCACCTGTTGGCATTTAACTCTCATTTTATTACTTTGAATAACGTTAGTTATTGCACTACCGTTTGTGGTGTTGTATATACTTTTTAATTATCTAAAAATTTACTTTTTAATCTGTGATATTCACCTCTTGGCAGTGTGGCGCCAGTGCGTGAAAATATCGAATCCATATCGTTGCTCAAATCACGTGACATACTATGGCGCCATGGTGCACCCACATTATTGCCGGAAGCGCTGTTGAGACGGCTGTAAAAAGGTAAATAAAAAACATTCAATGTTGTTTTGGTAAGACAAAAAGTAGTTAAGTTTCTTATCAAAACGATTTCAATGAGTGCAGATATTTAAAAGAGCGAGCAACATGCATACATTTAGTTTAGGCGATATTTAGTAAAGCAAGATGAGTGAGTTAGATCAGAAGTACATAGTTTAAAAGCGCTTAGCACAAATATAAATTGGATAAACTTAAAGAATTTCTAAACAAGCGAAATGTTGCATATATTTAGGAGCAATAATAACAATGAGAATACTTGGCGTTTATTATTAAATTATGGTATTTTCCTATGCGAAATGTTTGACCTTCAAAACTCAGCTAATATCCCCTTTCCCTTTGGACCAACGCCGACAAGCAGCACGTTTCCTTAGCCTCCTCTTGATGGACTAGCCGATTTAGGCAGGGTCTAGTGGTACCACTACAACAACAACCTTCAAAAGGGAAACTTTTTATGCGGCAAATAAACATTTGGATTTACACACAAAAATGAGGAAGAAGTCATTGAAAATGCACTAAATTCCGCTAAAGTTATCCTTAATTATTTAGCTGCCGACAGAACGAAAAAAAATTCACTTCCTGGCGTTCCTAATTGTATCGTTTGGTTGTATCAAATATAAAAATTAGTGTTTTCCTTTAAAAATCTGCAAAACTAAAATTACGGCAGCTGTGAGACGCTAACTGCTCTGCAGTATTTTGGGTTACATAAGCAAAGTTAATTACCGTGACAAAGATGTAAATCAAAAATAATTACAGGGATTCATTCCGACAAAATTGTGAGAAAGAAATGGAAAGATTATAAAACTTGCAATGCACTAAGAAAAAAAATCAGCTGAATACATTTCTTTGGACACATGATTTGGTAACTATAACCAAATAATGTAGCTATAAGCAAATCATGTGGTGGGAGAAACATATTTAGTTCACATAACAAAACTATTTTGTCATTTTGAGTCTACAGAGGAGTCATGCTTAAGGGGGTATACTATTCGATCTTGTAGATCATCCAAAACGTTTACACATATCCAAAATGCTACGAGCAACATTTACCGTAAATCTAATATCGTAAATTTAATATCGTAAATTCTAAACTTACAAGCAGCAATTGGATTTGAAAATTGATAAAATTCTACCTAAATGACTAATATTGGCAAGACTCCTCATAACTCGTTGCTTAATAGTTATCGGTCTAAAGCAGTTTAGAAGCGAATAGAGAAAAGTAAAGTTTTCATAGATTATAAAATTATAATAACAAAAAATTATGCATATCGTCACCATGAATGAAAAAGCCCCTATTTGACAAATTTTTAAATTCTACAGGAGAAGCAAAAAGCTTTCTAAATTAACATATCGCATCCCTAAATCAAAAGCAGTCACAACCAAGGTGTATTAAACAAAGTGTGATTGACAACTCAGTGCGGCTCTCTTTTAAGGTACTATAATGTCA